CTCAGCCACAATTGTATGGCAATTACAATGAGAATGCCTTCACCCAATTACTAGTCCTCACCTAATGCTCCGTCTCCAAGAGACCTACTCTATCAGAACATACCACACTCATTTAATACGGTTGCTCCATTAAGACACATTACGTTCACCAAAGACATCTATTCCGTCAAACACATCATATCACGATTATTGTGTTATGTAAGCCATGTAGATGCCCTATCATGACATACAAATACTTCCCCAGGCTACTCCTAAAGGTAAGATGAAAAAACTGATAAATGTCTCTTTCCTTTTGTTTTCTCAAGAGTGTAGACTAGACTATTGATGATTTAAGCATTGGAGTGTCTAATCCAAGGACCACCCTCAGGGCTTTTGTCACACCCCAGAACCTGAATCTGAGGCGCGACAAACACCGTGCACTCATGGGAGGGTCCCACAAATGCACAAGGCTCGGAACTTATCATATCACAATCTAATACCACCAAAATCTCAAGTTCAAATCTCTTGTCACTAACAATCCATTCAATGAATTTATAAAATCTCCAATTAAAATCCAATTTATAAGATCATGGTCTATATCTAAAATCTATATCAATCTCAAAATGGCTAGCCTTCTAGCTCGTCACTTCCCGTGGTTTTCCCGTCCTCGTTTCGCTTCCTAAAATGGTAGACAAGGAAAACTATGAGATAAACTCAATAAGTAAAATATGGATTGCCCTTAATTAAACGTATAGCATGCCAACAAATATAATCACGAAAAATGGTTACAGTGCAGGAACGAAATAGATGTCTCCCCTATAGGTCACAGCCAGTGTTTAAACCTCCCACTGGAAGGCTAGAGTATTTGCTGGTGTATAACCCCCACTAGCAAGGTTGAACGAACCGGTTTTATCAATAACATGTCGACATGTGCTAGCGTTTAACCCCCACTAGTAGGATCATCAATAACATAACCACATCGGAGACAAAATAGGCAGAAGTTAACAGAAAAATCATAATTCACCAATCACTTTCAAATCATCAAGACAATCAATTAAATTTCAAGTAGGCATGTTCAATTTAATGAAAAGTATAAAAAATTTCACTTCAAATCAATCATACTTGTGTAAAATGGGTTTAGTCTTGCCACCACTTCAAAAACAAATCAAAACATGCTTTTAAAAATTATACGGGCATTACCATAAATTTACTTACCTCACTCGCATAAAACCGAGCACTCAATTCACGTACTAAAGCACCCCAAGGATCAAGAACCTAATCAAAATATCCGAGAATTAATTATCGTACTATCACAAATTCACACTGAAATCATCATGACTACCCCTAATCACGATGCTATTTCTATCAGTCTCCACGTGATCAAATATCTCCAAATTCGTTCTTATATTACAAACTAATCATTTAAATACCCATTAATTGTTGGCCTCGGTGACCGTGAACAGTGACCGTGAACAGTGACCGTGAACAGTGACTACACTTCCAAAAATTGGCCAAAGCTAATTCACGAGATTTTCTCCAAAAATCACACAGCAGTCATTTAACACTCAATCACATAAATCCCACTTAAATTAATGCTTAAACTTTATCCTAAAGCTACCGGAATTCCCCCATTTTTCTAGCACAATTCGGACACACAATAGGGCAGCAATTAAAAGCAAATAAATGGACAAATTCGGACCATCAATGGGTTGGATCAAGTGGCAAGCGACTTGTTCCAACTTAAGTAAGGTCTCGAGTTCGAAACCTTCTGTACGCAGCAGCCTTCGTTGGGACACCCACCCACCATTCTGGTGCGCCACAGCTGGTCGAGTCCGGAGTAGTCGGGGCGAAGCCCAGATACCGGGCGGGAAACCTAAAAAAAAAAAAGGACAAATTCGGGGGCTTGGAGGGCTGCCACATACCAGAATTCTCCAGCTAAAACCGGAGCTGCATGGAGAAGAAGAAGCCGGCGGCAAGCTGCAGGGGAACTCACGGACTAGCCAAAAATTGGAGAACCAAAGTTAACCCAAGCTAAATCAAGCTAAAAGATGAAGTTCATGGCTATGGCTTACCGGAAAAATGCCCAGAAATCACACACCCACATGGCAGCCGACGGACAGGGGAGGAAGAGAAACTGCAGATCTGAAATTCCTTGCTTTAGGGAGGGTTTCTAAGTCCTAAAACTTGTTATTTAACAAGAAAGGAAGGAGAAATTTCAGGTTTTCTACTGGTTTTCTCAAGGGGTCACTGGCAGCTGGGCTTTTCTTTTTGTTCGGCTGCAGGGGGGTCGGGAAGAGCAGAACAGGCGGGTTGGAAGAAAAGAAAGAAGAGAAAAAGAAAAAGAAAGAAACTGATCCTTATCCAAATCTCTTCCACTTTTAAGTCCCTCAAGTTCCAGAACTTTCACTATTAGGCCCCAAAATAATTATTTCTCACACATAAACCCTTACTTAAATGATAAAATTTCCCAAAATTTTCGGGTATTACAGTTTTGTAGGTCAGTTCAAAGAAAAGAATGTAATAGAGGAGATTTCGAAGGTTTACTGCATCTACATTTAGTGTCGTCTGTGGGAATCTAAACTAAAAGCCATAGTGCAAGACTAAGATGGTTCACACACGCTCAACTCAGCATAGAAGCCCATCCCAAGGTCGTGGAAGAGGTTAGCTCCCAAATGTCAATCCTATGCCCCAAAATATGTAGCTTGCTGCCACCCAACATCAGCATGTAGAGGAAAAAAGAGAACATAATCCATAACATCCAATCACTACCCTGAATGACCTCATAACTACTCAACTTAATACCATGCAATAGCAGTTTGGAGTATTCCAACTAGTAGTCGTGCAATTGCTAGCCAGAGACAACCCCAATGATCCCTTCATCAACTTATTGAACCCAGCTCACACCACAATTCCTCACCAACCTTAGCAATGTGTTAACTCCCCTCTTCAGAGTACTACCCCATCCAAAAGTGACTCCCAAGCACAATCCCACATACCACCCCCACCTCCAAACCCACCTCAACTAGTTGCCTCAGACGTCTCCAAAAGACTAGACAACCTAGAAAAGATGATAACCAAAAACAGAGTCGTACCCCCAATCCAAGTCAGTTCAGCCTCTATGCCTACCCCATTAGCACTAACTTTGTTCAAGAATCATACCCGTCAGGGTTCAAGATGCCTCAGTTCAAGACGTATGATGGGACCAAGGACCTCGACAACCACTTACACGCCTTCTACTCTGTTATGCAAGCCCAAAATGCCTAAAATGCCCTCATGTGTAAAATACTCTCGTCTACATTATGTGGAAATGCTTCAACTTGGTATTATAGTTTGTAGCCGAGCACAATTAATTCATGTACTGAGATGGCAACAACCTTTGCTACCAAATTCTCTAACCGGAGACTAATCAAGAAAACGACACCTGAGCTTATGCAGGTAATTTAGAGGGAAGGTGAATCCCTAAAAAACTATATGAATATATTTAATGATGCTGTGCTAGAAATCGGTTTGTTTGATGAAGTAGTGGGAATCACCGCCATCACCCAAGGTCTTGGCCATGAGCGGTTTTGAGACAATTTAATCAAGCACCTGCCTGCCATATTTGATGAGGTCAATGAGAGATCTTGCAAGTTCATTATTGTTGAGAAGTATGTTTTGTCTGAGAAACCTTTACCTACTAGGGAAAGCAGAAGTCCGATGTGGAGAGAAGAAGGGTAGAGCAAGAAGAAGTTCAAATCCACTCAGAACCGAGGTCTAATCCCAATCCCCAAGCTTGACAAATCCAACTCCAAACGCAGGCTAAACAAGCTTCATGGACCCCATTTACGCTATCGAGGTCATAGATTTTCATGTAGATAAAAAATTAAGATGGAGCTGAGAAGGCCAACACCTATGCGAAGCCCAACTACCACCAGAGATCACAATAGATTCTATGACTTCCATCAAGACCACGGCCACACTACGGAAGAATCCCACAACCTGAAATCCGAGCTAGAAGGCTACATCCAAAGCAGAGATCCACATAAGTTTGTTAAAGAACAGGGATAGCAGGCCCAGGGGTCTCGAACTACCAGTAATAGGAAAGGAGTGGGATACTAGCAAACACCACCACCTCTTCCACCTTCATCCAGAAACATTCATATGATAACTATAGGGCTAGAAGTAGGAGGATTAGGCTCCAAACAAAGGAAACTATATGTTAGAGAAGTCAAGCATCAAAATAGGGCTCAAAAGAGGAAATTTAATGATGCAGAATGGAAACTCCAACCGATCACTTTCACAAATGTTGACCTTGATGGTGTGGTCGTTCCTCACAACAATCTGTTAGTCACTTCAATTATTGTCAATAATTGCGAGGTGCAACATGTTCTCATTGACACTGGCAGCGCGCCTGATATCATGTATTACCATTGCTTTGAAAGTCTTGGTCTCAACCCAACTTTTCTATAGAAATATGACGATCACGTTTATGGTTTCAACAATCAACCAGTTGTAGTTAAAGGTGTGCCCACACTCAATGTTGCATTTGGAAGCTACCGAACCTATGTTACTCCTTCGGTTTGTTTCTTGGTAGTCAAGATGGCTTCCTCATTCAACATCGTTATAGGACAATCTACACTCATCAAGATTCGAGCAACCGTGTCCCAATTTCATCTGTGCTTGAAATTCCCCACACCAATGGGTGTAGCAACACTAAAAGGCAACCAAGAGGTGGCTAACCATTACTATATGACCTTGGTCACACGACCCATGAAGGAAAGAGAAGCAATCCCAACTTTTGAAATCCCTTAATCTCAAGCTAATGCTCCCTAACAAGTGATAGGGGTAGAGCTTGTTGACAACCGACCTGAGGATGTAAAGAGAGCTACCCTAATAGAAGAAACTAAAGAAGTGCGAATTGATGAAAGTAATCTAGCTCAAACAACATAGTTTAGAACGAAGTTGAGCTTGAAGGAGAGAGAAAAGTTGATAGCTTTCTTTCAAGCTAACAAAGATGTTTTCACATGGACTTTTGTAGACATGCCGAGGGTTCCAACTTCAGTTGCAATGCATAAATTGAGTACTAATCCTCTAAAGAGACTAGTAGCCCAAAAACGACAACTCTTCGGGGGTGAGAGCCTGAGGGCAATAAAAGACGAGGTAGAAAAACTTCTCTGAGCCAGATTCATATAAAGGGTTGATTACTATGAGTGGATTGCCAACCCTGTTTTAGTAAAGAAAGCCAATGATAAATAGAGGATGTGCATCGACTACACAAATGTTAGCCAAGCATGCCCCAAAGATTGCTACCCAATGCCAAACATAGATAAGTTGGTTAAAGCTGCCTCTAGGAACGAGTGACTTAGTTTGCTGGATGCACATTCTGGCTACCATCAAGTCCACATGGCTCCTAAAGATCAAGAGAAGACCTCCTTCTATGCAAATGATGAGATGTATTGTTATATAATAATACCTTTTAGATTGAAAAATGCAGGTGCCACTTACCAAAAGATGGTTACTATTGTATTTAAAGCCCAGATCGGCAAGAACTTAGAAGTCTACGTCGACGATATTGTGGTCAAGAGTCGCAAGGCTGAAGACCATTTGGTCGACCTCGATGAGACGTTTAACAATCTTCGAAAGAACAAAATGAGGCTAAATCATGCTTAGTGCATCTTTGGAGTGGAATCTGAAAAGTTTTTGGGATTTATGGTGTCTAAGAGGGGGATACAGGTCAACCCAGAGAAGATAAAAGCAATAGAAGAAATGGAACCACCAAAATCCATTAAAGATGTGCAAAGATTAACCAGACGAGTAGCAACCCTCCACAAGTTTGTTTCCTAGTCAGCCGATAAGTGTCTTCTATTTTTTAGAATCATGAGGTCAACAACGCAAAAGGATAAATTTGGCAAACTGAAAAAGTTTGAATGCACTTGAGAGTGCCAAAATGGATTTGATGAACTTAAATCCTATCTTAACTCCCTTCCCCTATTGACTAAGGCTAATGACGAAGAACTACTTTACCTTTACCTCGGTATCTCAAACGAGGCAATCAGTTCAGTTTTGGTCAGGGAACAAGGCAACCAACAGAAACTAGTAGATTATGCCAGTAAAGTGTTACATGTAGCTGAGCAAAGATATTCAATTGTTGAAAGGGTAAGCTTTGTTGTTGCTATCTTGGCCAAGAAGTTGAGACCTTACTTTTAGTCTCATTTGGTAGTAATGCTCACGAATCAACCTCTATGACAAATCCTACAGAAACTTGTGTGCTCTAGGAGATTGATCAAATGGGCAGTAAAACTAGGAGAGTTCGAGATCACTTTTTAGCAAAGAACAACTATCCGGGCTCAGGCTTTGGTAGATTTCGTAGCTAAATGTACTTTTGATCAACCAACCCTTACCCCAAAGCACACTACATGGATCTTGTATATTAATGGGGCATCAAACCATAAAGGGTCAAGAACAGGGGCAATATTACTCGGCCTAGATGGGTTTCGAAGTAAACATGCATTGAAATTCAGTTTTGAAGCCACCAACAACATGGTCGAGTATGAAGCATTGATCTTAGGCTTGTAGTTGGCATCAAAATTAAATGTCAAAGTCGTCCAAGTCTACATTGACTCTCAGCTTATGGTCAACCAAGTCACGAAATCACTAAGCCCACCAAGATGAAATACGCTGCAACTATGTTTGAGTTGAGATCCCGATTCTAGAAGTTCAACCTTTGTAAGATTTCTAGATCAGAAAATGTGCAAGCAAATCTGCTCTCTAAGCTTGCCTTAGATGATCCCCAAAGAATGAGGTTAGTTTATATTGAAGTGCTTGATGAGCCAAGCTTCCAGAAGCTGAGGATGATGGAGATCAGCACTAATCCTAATACACTGAGCTGGGTTGACCCTCAGATCTTACTTGCTAGATGGCACCATCCCTATAGATAAGAAGGAAGAGATGAGGTTGAGAAGGAAAGCACCCCACTGCACCCTTGTTGATGGAATTTTTTATAAGAGGTCCTTCTCATTACCTCTACTCCAATGTTTCTCTCTTTATGAGATTGAATATGCACTTCGGGAGCTGCATAAAGGTGTCTATGGAAGCCACATTGGTGCAAGAACATTGACCCATAAAGTCTTGAGATAGGGATAGTATTGGCTATATATGCTGAAAGATGCCAAGAAGTTTGTTTATCGATGCTCGAAATGCTAGTTTTTCGCACATCTAACCCATCAACCGGCTAAAGAACTCATGAATGTTATAGCACCATGGCCATTTGCTCAGTGAGGACTTCATCTCCTAGAACTGTTTGTCAAAAGGGTGGAAGGAGTCACTCACCTGATGGTTGGAATAGACTACTTCACAAAATGGGTTCAGGCTCAACTGTTGTCTAGCTTAACTTCCAAAAAGATGGAGGATTTTGTGTTCAAATCCATCATTTGCAGATATGGGATTCCGAATCAAATTGTTGTAGATAATAGACCACTATTTAATTGCACCTCTTTTAAAGACTTTTGCTCTAGTTACGGGATAAACTACAGTTCACCTCGGTTTACCACTCAAAAGCTAACAGGTTGTGGAATCAATTAACAAGGTAATCTTTGAGGGGATTAAACCAAGGCTAAAACAACATAAGGCCAAGTGGGCAAATGAGCTCAACAATATGCTATGGGCATACAGAACCACCAACCGAACTCCCATAGGTACCTTTATCCCAAACTCAGATAATTTCCTTTAATTACCTTCAAAGTTTGTTTTTCAGCCTTAGTGTAAATATGCATAATATATAAAGCAGATGCTAATCACTTACATAAATAGGTGAAACACCTTATCACTTGGCCTTTGGAGCCGAAGCAGTAATTCCTATTGAAATAGGAGTCCCGAGCTTAAGGGTTAGTCATTTCGATCAAGAATGCAATGGGCAACTTCTTCGAGAAAACCTAGACTTAATTGATGAAGTCCGAGAGGAAGTTTGACTTCAAACTCTATCTTATAATCAAAAACTAAAAAACCTTTACAACAAGGGAGTTTGACATTGAACTTTCAGAGTTGGTGACCTTATGCTTAGAAAAGTTGGATTCACAGGGTTTGAAAACCCACTTCGGCAAATTGGCACCGAACTGGGAAGGTCCATATACATTAGTTGAAATTGCATACCCTAATGCTTATATTCTTCAAGATTTTGAAGGAAAAAAGGTCCCCAGAGTCTGGGATGTCAACAACCTCAAGAAATTCTACCCCTAAAGGTCCAAAAGCTAATACAATCCTAATATTGGGCATCATTCCCCTATGTTATTTGATGTTCTGATCAAATCCGAGGTGAATTCAATTTTATTATTCGTCTCATATATCTTTGTTTGATACTTTACTCACGGGCTTCGTCCTAACTATTCAATTCTTCTCAATTCAAAACATCCCAATAATATAATCAAAACACTAAAATATCAAAATTTAAATTCATTTAATAAATCAAATTGTCTACCATCACTATTTAAACTAGACAAAGTAAAAAGCTACTCTGCTAGCTAATCTGGCTTATCAGCACTTCCGCTTCTTTTGTCATCCACTGATATGAACTTAAAATCAAAGTTCGGAGGATAAATGATTCGACCTCTACTATCCCGATCCCACTTCAGCTCAATCTTAGGATGGAAATCAACAATACTGCTCTCCCCGTTTTCCTTGACTTCTACCTCTGATCCTTGAATGTGATTTTCATCACATCAACCTTAGAATACTACAATTTCACGTTTTTTTGACAATCGGTGAAAGTGACGATTGTAGTTGGGACTTGATACAGGTTGACAATGTTTTCGAAAGTGCTAGACTTCAAGAAGTTTGCTAAATGCCTTTCAACAAAGTTATGGACCTCCAACTCCAACTTAGTTGCTGCCTTCCTAACTTTGTCCAGCTCTTTCTCCTTCTTCTCGAGCTCGTCTTCACAAATTTTTCTTTTTTGGTACGAGTTCTCCGAGTCTTTCCAAAGAGTGGCATTCTCATCTTGAAGCTTCTTCACCTCTAAGATCAAATTTGCCTTTTCCCACCTGGCCTCCTCATTTTTCTTAACAAGCTTGGCAATTTCCTTATTAAGTTTATTTCTTTCCTTAGGCTCTTGAAAAACTTGTTTGACAATATATTGATGAGATTTGCAGCTTACACAACAAATCAAAGTCAAAAACTTGTAAATATTAAAGGACTTCCATCTCAAAACTCTAGACAGAACTGGAATATCATACCTTAGGACGTGGCATACCACCCCTACTCCTCCATGTACGGCCACCTCCTCCTTAGCCCATTGACAATCCATTTCTGGGAAGTAGGTGTTGATGCACCTCTTCGTCATGCTTCTAATCCTAGCCTCATAGAATCTCAACATTGGCAAAGGAACATACTCTTTTCCCTTATTGTGAGGTGTAACCTCTGCTTCTCGAACTAATGGTTCAATTTCAACAAGAAAGGCCTAAGGGATGAGTTCTGCAACTTCCTCACTAGGCTACTGTTGCTGTTCTCCCACCCTCCTCCTCTTAATAGCAACTAGCTTGTCCTCTTTTGCCTTCATGACGACCTCAGCCCCCTGACTTTGAGGTTGGGAAATTACTAGAGCTTGAGCATCAAGTTGAGATGCAGGGCTCCCACCACCTTGTCTTTCCACCACCCCAACCTTCACCGCCTTTCCCTTCTTCTTGGGGATACTAGCTCCACCAATTACATCCAAGAATTTATTCATTTCACCTGCAAAACAAACCAAAGTTAAAACACTTATCAAAGCACTTCAATGAAATACAACAATTCAATAACACACCTTCGCTCTGCAAGCTTGACTCATAGATCTCAGAAGCATGCAACATCTTAGGGCTTGTATATTAAAAAATATCCAGTACATCTTCATCCCCTCTCATCAACATCTTCACATATTCCCATTTTCTTGGGGTCAGACTATACTTGTTTAGATTCACCCCTCTCAACTTCCACCAGCTTAATTT